TTTTGTTTGCATACATGAAATATTTATTCAAAAATACGTGAAACTATCTAACATTTACATCTGAAACAAATTCATACATTCACTCGTTTACTAAATATGCGATACATTTACAAATTCTCACAAAAAATCTGGGTTCAAAACTATTTCGATTTAAAATTATCAAGAAAAAAAAAGGAAAAATGGAAGAAAATTGACGAATAATATTAATATTACTGGAATATGTATGAAAAATTGTGACAATTCAAAATTTCATTGTTTATTAGTGAAAGTGAGAATTGCTGATAGTTCGATCAGTGATCCGGTAACGGAAATGTCAAATCAATGATTCCGGCAACGACAATATTTGGCCATATTTGATCTTGAAATCAAAACAAAACAGAAATTTCAGCACTTTTTTGCATCAATTAATATGAATTAATGATTTGAACAAAGATCAATGATACAATAAAATTGCAAAACGATAGGAAAAAACGTAAATTTAGAAAAGAGAAAAATAAACAAATAAATGTACAAATTTTAAACAAAAAATAATGAATTACAGAAGAAATTATCAAAATTTGTATAAAAAGAATATTCGCAGGACAATAGCAGTTGTAGCCATTTCTTTAACACCGCAAACATTTTTATCCCGATATAATCGATAATATCCATATTCATTCCACTTAGTACCCCAACTATAATATTCTTAATAATCCAGTATGGCTTATTTATATATTGCTGGAATATGTATAAAAAATTGTGATAATTTGAAATTTCGTTGTTTGCTGGTGAGAATGAGAACTGCTGAATGTTCAATAAATGAACCGACAACGGTTTAGTAACAAATTAATTTTATTAATAAATTTATGCAGAATGCTTTTACTGATAAGTGTCGTCATAGTCATTACCATCATTTATATTTAGTTAGCGCTCACGCTTTGTAAGCTATAAATACTTTTTTCATTTTTGAAATCGTAGAATTTTCAAAGTTTCACGAATTTTTTTATTACAAACAAATTTGAAAACTATATTTGAAAATGGATATGAAGTATAACAAATGATTTGATCAAATCATTCAGTGTATATATAAATTGCAAAAAATGTAGCAATGCAGTTATTCTCTCTTCCTAATATTGGCACAGTTTTAAGGGTTTGGAAAAATTGAAGTGAAATGAAACTAAATTATGCAAAATTGCGACGGCTTCGCATAAATTAATTTTCACAATGCAATACTACAACTAAAATGAAATTATTCAGCATGAAGGATTAAACAGCAACTGCTATTATTGCATGATTACACGTCGACACAGATCATCAATATAGATAGTTTGCCACTGCCATTTGGATGAGCATTTATATAGACGATACTTGAACAATACCTAACAGAAGCAGCAACTGATCCTTTGTGTCAAGCTCTCTTCCACGAATTTTATCCAGTAAGTTCTATTTTATTTATTTCGATAGAGAATGCCAATTGCATCTCAAAATATCGTGTTAAGAGAGATTTTGGAATTTCACGATGGCCCTGTAAATAAGCATTCTTTTAAAACAAAATTATCTTCTTAATAAATTCAAATATTTTGAAAAGTTCGCTTTGGGACGTTTGCGACCGATCACCAGTATAAATAATTTATTATGCCTATTGTTTGAATGAGAAATGCAATTATATTATGCTAGCAGCAAATCGAAGCCTTTTCGTTTTTTCAATGTTGATAAATTTGGGAAAACATTTGCCGGAGGAAATTCTTCCATTACGTAAATGTCAAACAGCAAGAGATCTTACTTCTTATAAGCCACCATTCACTGCACCAGTTAACTTGAATGCTTGCAGAATAGGGAAGGAATTACTCACATCAATATGCATTTCGCCTATTTCGTCTTCCTCTACTTCCAACTGAGCAACATTCGAACTGCAGTAAGTTCATTTAAGGTTAAAAATACAACGCAATGCTAAAGTATTTCGAGGATTTCAAATTTTTGACACAGTATGAGATTGATAATTTCATATAATTTGAGGAGACGCAAACGGAACAGACAGAGCCGTTGGATTTATCATTGCAAAAATTGAGTAGAGAACAAGCGCCGGATTTGTGTTTATTAGCCGAAGTAGCTGCTAAAATATATACACATGAATTTAAAGGTCAAGTTTTAATAGTCAAAGAAGTGGATGCTGAAGGAAAAAGAAAAAACACAGAAGAAATCCCAGGGAAGGAATCGAAAAGGAAGAAACTGCAGTGTGGTCCATGTCAAAATGAAGTAGTAAGTATGGATGATATGGAAACTAATACCAGTGAGAAGCTTCGTATTTGTCCGACATGCAACAAAACCTTCCCTTATCTATCAACTATGAAAATTCATATGAGATCTCATACCGGTGAGAAGCCGTACAATTGTCTCACATGCAACAAAAGCTTCCCCCGTTTATCAACTTTGAACGACCATATGAGAATTCATAGCGGTGAGAAGCCGTACGTTTGTAGGATATGCAACAGCAGTTTCACTCAATCATCGCATAGGATAAACCATATGAGAACTCACACTGGTGAGAAGCCGTACGTTTGCTGTATATGCAACAGCAGTTTCACTCAATCATCGCAAAGGATAAACCATATGAGAACTCATACTGGTGAGAAGCCGTACGTTTGTCTGATATGCAACAGGAGTTTCTCTCAATCATCAAATAGGGAGAGACATATGAAGATTCATACAAGTAAGCCTTACAATTATCCGTAATGGGAGAAAAGTTAAAAAAAGGAGCGGTATTTGGAAAAACACATAACAATCACAACAAAAATAAGCAGCTCTTCAACTCTATTGTCTGTGGTAATGGTTTCCTAAATCTTAAATCTTCTTTGAAGTCACACAAGAAGACTCATGAAAGAGGCTGAAATGCTCATTTTATGCTGAAATAGCATTGTTTTGTTGATTATAAGTTATGTTTCTGTGCTTGGTCCTTATTTTAATGATAAAAAAAGTTATTTTATTGATATTTTTATCTCATATGCATAAGATCCTTATCTTAATGATAACATTCTATTACTGTTGTTATTTATCGGTTGTTTATACGTTATTCACTTTTTTATCACATATACATAATAGCATCGTTCTTTTTCCATCTCTTTGCTGTTTCTTTCATTTTAGTGAATAAAATTATCAGTTTTGTATTTCTTTGCAGATCTGCTAAATTAATTTTTCGTTATTTGCGCACACATAAGTAATTGGCATGCTATATGCAAATAAACATGACTGTTAGTTGTGGTCTCATGTCATTTCATAAGATCACCCGTTATCAATCCCTATCCTATGTTTCATCGACGATAAGCACTTCAATTGAGCTATTTAAAGCAACGTTTCATTTAGTGGGATATTTGATAATCCAATCCAGCTACTAAATTATATCAATTCAATGAAAGCTTAAAATCTGGAAGAGATTTGAGGGGCTTGTGCAGAAACTATGCGAATTGTTTTGTCCAATTAAGCAACATTCAAACTGCAATAAGTTCATTTAAAGTTTAAAAAAAAGATTCTTTCCTAAAGAAAAATTCCACCCGAAAGTTTATTTT